CTGTTGTTTGATTTTAATATTTTCTTTTTGTTTTTTCTTTTTGGCTTCATTTTTTTAGCACAAATATACTTATGATGCTTTATTGTCCTACAATGTATTGTGCCATTAGACTCCACTTGTCGTATGGGTTTTAGAAATTTTAGCTTTATCTAGAATTATAAGATAATTTTTTTAATAAATAAGTTGATGCCATGGAGACCTGGGCTTCAATCACTTGGCATGATTCATTGTTTAGAGAAACTTATAGCAATAATATTAATTTAAAAATGGTTGTTTTGTTATGTAATTTCTACTAAATTTATTTACTGAGGTCACTTGTTTTGACTTTGGCATATTGTGCATCCATTATACCAATGTTAAATTTTATGTCTCCCTCATCTAATTTTCATGATTTAAACAAATCTTCTATAATTTTGCTTTTACATGTTCATATCCCAATGATGAACTATTTAGTAATCTGAATTTTTGTATGGAACTTGTAAAATTTGGTGCTCTCTTTTGCAAGCTCATTGCTGAGGTTGAGGAACCATGAGTTCATGCTAGGTAGATAATAGACATTTTGAGGGATACGCTGTTATTTGATTTTTTTAATAAATAAGTTGTTGCCATGGAGACCTGGGCTTCAATCCCGTCAGCCGATGGGTTTTTGACACAACTTCATTAGAAATCAATATAAGCCTGATGACTTATTTGATGGTGACGATCCTCCTCGAGAAATGGATCAGTTGCGTAATACTATTGCTGATCGAATCTGGAATTCTCTTGGGCACTCTTGATCTTTCTGAAACTGATGGTATGTTTTTTCTTTTATATGTAATATATTTGTTGCTATTATTGTTAATATTTTTCAACTTAAATTTTACCATTACAGATGTGAAGTGTGTTGATACTTTCTTGAAGGTGATGTGTGCTGTTATGAAGATGACGTGTCCTACTATTGAAGCTTGTTCCATGGAAGTGAAATTTGTGTTTTTTGAAGTATGTCTCCTGTAAGGAAAACATAAGGAAACATCTTTTTATTTGTAAGCATCTTTTTTTTTTTGTTTTTGAATCCTATTGTTGAAATTTGTAAATAATGAAGTGAATTGTGTTTGAACTTTGAATTATATCTCCTATTTAATTTAATCTACTGTTTAATTTGTTCTTAATTTCTTTGTCATTTTTCCTAATATAGAAGAATGAGTATGATTTGAGAAGCTTCCTTGCAAGCTTCCATTCTAGCAGGGTGCTTCTTTTTTTATTTATTTATTTTATGATTCCTTGATAGATGTTTTGTGAAGTTTGACTCTAAATTAATGGATTATAAATGAAAAAGGTGATCTTAATATCTAGATCATAAGAATACAGTAAAAAAATAAAACTTTACATGTCATCAAGACTCAAGTTGATGCCAAAACATTGGTCTCGCTGAAGCAACACTTCTGTAATTACACTTTGGTTATATATGTGTGTGTGTGTGTGTGGTTGTGTATTCAAATTTCAATATATTTATTAAAAATATATAGACTATTTATATAGAAATAAATTTATAAATATATTTAAAATTTATAAAAATAAATTAAAAGCAATGATAACCAAACATGTTTTTTGTTTCTGTTTTATTTATTTTTAACAACAATTAGAGTTACCAAACATATTTTGTTTTCAAAATTCTTGAAACGCATGGCTTACCAAACATGTTTTTTATGTTTCTGTTTCCGACATTTCCACAACAAAACATCGTTCCCAAACGTGCTTCCGATTTTTACCAAAACACTCCAATAGTAAAAACATTGTTTCTGTTTTAGCCAAAAACAAAACGCCTAAAGTAAAACGCATGCCAGACGAGCCCTTACCCTCAAACACTTGCCACAGGCTGCCTGGCCACGAGGCCCGGCCGGGCCACAGAAGGCGGTCCAGCCATACTTGCTCCGCCATGTCAAGGGCTTATTAGCGTCCCAGGTGGAACAATAAGCGCTTACAGCATTCAAGTCCCATCCATTCTGCTCAGGATTATAGTAATGGTATGTGGCTCTCACATTAGAAGCACTCTCACCCACTGCCATTGCACCAACAATCACTAGACTAAGTGACAATACCATGCATATTAAAACCTTCCCCATATTTTTTTTTTGTGTACTAGCTAGTAATTTTTTTTTTTTTTTTGGCAAAGAATGGTGGAAGAATGGCTTCGATATATATAGAGAAGGGATTGGTATGAAATTACAAAATTACCCATAAATCAGATTAATTTGTCACATTAAATTTGTTAATGGGAAAATTGGGATGCCTATACTCATATGTTGCAGAGTAGTTAGTCCATCTGCTTCTGGGATAAAGACTAAATTTGGGACACAGAGAGGCTGCTGATAGAGGGTCAAAAGTGCATCTGATTTCTGTCATAAAGTCAAAAAAATATTGCTATTTTACTTCGACCATCTTATCTGATGGGAAATTTCATGGCTACATATATGACTACTATGTATTAGATATATTCTCGATTTTCTTTATTAATGAGAAAATTAAAATATATATATATATATATATATATATATATATATATATATATTAATAATTCGGTGTCGTTAGGTCAGCTGATATAATTTCTCCACCTTCAAAAAATAGGTGAGGAATTTAAGCCTCATAGTGGACATTTTTGAAAGTGTGACTATTTATCTAAAAAAATAGATGGTGTTTTTTTCCGAAAATTAAAATAAATGGTGTTGCGTGTCCAACTTGTGTGTATATATTTTTGTTGCGCAAATGGCGGATGAATTGGTTGAATGTATAGAAATTGTATTCATATGAAATTATCGAATCACCCACAAATTGGATCAATATCATACGAATTGTGTTCATGGTCAATTTGTGATGTCCTTAAAATTTATCTGAATTCGATCCAGTCAATATCACTTCTGGTCAAGTCCTCATGGTTGCAGTCTTTATCATCCTTCTGGAATATGTGATGACTTGACTAGAAGGTTAAAATTGCAGTCTTTATTTTCAACTACACACATAGTGCTCAAAATGCACTACAATATAATTCATTAAAGATAAATTTTGTGGGACTTTTAATAATATTTATTAAAATTTTCAAAATCATTTAACACAAATAATAATCTATTCATGAATTCTAAGTCAATTATTAAAAAGACTTAGTCATTATGCTTTTTATGAAATTAAATAGTAAAAATAAACTAAATTATAATCCACAACATATATAACATATGAGAATTAAGAAAAACAAAAATTAAAATTGATAATTTAAATAAAATATAAAAGGTACATGATTTTTTTCTGCATATAAAATAATTGTTTTACATGAAATTTTATGATCAATTTTTGTTATGAAGTTTAAAATATTGAGCAATTGAAGATTTTTTTTTTTTTTTAGTTAAATAAAAAAGTAGCACCTCATGCCAAACTAAATATTACTGTATATTTTAATTAATTTCATTGAGTTAGAGAATCAAGAATTTCTCATAATATTATTTCAGAAGAGAGAATCTTGAAAATGATAAGGTATTGATTTAATGTGGTGAGGTCATGTGAATAAAAAATTAATTCTGTTAAAATTGGGATTAAAACCTCTAATTCAAGTTAGAACTCATTATACATATCTGCCCAACCTATATGTTGTGTTTGGTAGGAAGGAATGAAAAGGTGTGGAAAGAAAATAGAAAGTTCGGTAGATATATATAATACAAGGAAAGAAAAGAGGGTAAGAAGGATGACACATTCTTCATCCTTTACAAATTTTTATCAGTCCAAAAATGAACAGAAAAAATGTTAGAAAATAAGGGTACTATTATAGAAGTTTTAAATTAAATAGCATCCTCTATAAATTACAATATTATAAATATTATCGAACAATGATAAAAACTTTATCTCTAACGAACATAGTCGATTATGAGCTTATTCTCTTCTCTTCTATCCAACCGAACAAAAAAAAAAAGAAAATACACTATTTCTTTATGAATATTTCATCCATCCATTTTTTTCTCCCTTCCATCCAATTTTTCTTCTTTTCTACCAAACAAAGCATAGTGTAAGAAAAAATAGGAAGGATGAGTTACATATTACATATTAATATCTATATATATATATATATATATACAAAATAGGGGGAAGGGAGACTCGGACATAATTGAATGAGTTATGTAAAAATCCCTAAAAATTATAAAACCATCATCACATGGGATGAAAGAAAAAAAAAAAAAAAGTTTACAAACTTCGCCAAATGGGCCAATTTTGGACTAAAAGGGCTTAACTAGCTTATTTGACCCAATTTAAAAGTAATTCGCTCTAAAGAAGGTCAGTTTTAAGTCACACAATCCTTCTCAACATGTGTCACTCTCGTATTTTGAACGCGTTTTCGTTCTCATGCTCCGCGCGTGCTCTCGCTTAAAAGTCTCATTGTTTATGACTTAATTTTGTCGCTTTCACACTTTTGCTCTCAAATTCACTCCCACTCTTACTTTATGTGACTTAAGGCCGATTCATGGTCGTAAGTTCGTAACAGTGAGAACCGGTCATTTTCAATGCCAAAGATAACAATCCAATGACTTAGGGCCCATTCATGGTCGTAAGTTTGTAACGGTAAGAACCAGTCATTTTCAATGCCAAAGATAACAATCCAATGGGTAGAAAAACAAAGTTCGCGCTTGTGGCCTTGTCATACACATAAAATAATGTTAATGACAACTAACACTTGGAAATGATTTTTAAATTGATTTTTTAAATAAACTTGAATAGCCAAAGATTTTTATTCCTTTGATGCAAAGAATGAGACCCCCACATGAGTTTATCTTTTGCATCAAAGGAATAAGAAAATATGGACTCCACATATTGGCTAGAATAGGTTTAATAACATTGTTCTACCCCCTCTTTCTCTACATATATAAATATATATGTATAAACAATACTTGCATTAGTGAGGAGTAACGTGGCACAATAAAAATCTCTCTCTACATATATAAATATATATGTATAAACAATACTTGCATTAGTGAGGAGTAATGTGGCACAATAAAAATGGACACGTCATTTTATTACTGTGTTGCATCAACTGGGAGGTGACAATTACAAAATCCAAGTGCAAAAAATAAAAAATAAAAACTTTGAGGATTTTAACAATGACTACTCATTATAACATGACATAGAATCCTGCAATATTCATAACAACTTGAGCTCATAATTCATAGTGTTTTATTATTCAACAAGCTCTTAGGCATTGATTTGTTTTGCAAAATTAGATATTTGGTAACTTTGAACACCAATAGCAATTGAGTATTGCTTGATATATTTATTTATTTTTCTGTAACGAATAATCAATCGCCACAGTTCACGAACTGATAGTTCACAATAAGGTGGCCCTGGGCATATCCTCTTCCATCTGTGTCTAGTGTCGTGAACACACCGGCATCCAAATCTAACCCTCCATTGCTGCATTGATCAACAATCCTGACCGTTACTTGAGCTCCGGTGCCTGTGTTTGTGACCTGCCCATATCATTTCAGGAATTTTGTCAATTTCTTTTAATTTGACCCATCATATAGACATTGACACATCTATGTTGGTTTGCCATTTTGCTTCTAAACTTACAAAGTTCAAACAATGTTGTCAATTTTAAAGTTAGATAACATGATCTTAATAAGGATTTCATGATATTGTTCATTTTTTATAAAAATATAATATGAATATATAACAGCCCCACTTAATTTCATCTTCCCAAAACGGCCATGTAAATTGAAAGGAAACTTCTACATGAAATGGGATAAATTTTACCCTAATTTGTGTATATTATTTCTATTCACAATATTTATATAATTTAATATAATAAGTTGATTCCAAATAATTGTTTTTTTGTAACTATCATGAAAAATACTTGCATAAAACCAAATGCCAATAAAACCTTAGACAAAAATGAACAGGCTGATTAAATTCAGGCCGACCAATCACAAGAATGATAGGTCCCACCATTTCTTAGAATAATTTGGTCAGTCGGAAATTCAACTTGCTTTATAATAAATGAAGAATAACTTTATTCAAAATCTATTTTCTAGGTCCAGATGGTGTAGCTGAAGGTTTTTATTCCTTTGATATAGTAGATATATAAGATACATGCTTGGCTCTATATACAGCATAAAAAAGGATAAAAACCTCCGGTTGAACACGTAGTTTTAAGAAGTCGGTTAGAATATAATTATTCATAAATAAAATCTTAGAGATTGTTAGTGGAGGGCTTACACTTAAACACTTGCCGCAGGACGCCTGGCCAGTCGGCCCAACAGGGCCACAAAAGGCGGTCCAGCCATACTTGCTACGCCATGCCAAGGGTTTGCCAGCATCCCAAGTGGAGCAGTAAGCACTAACAGCATTCAAGTCCCATCCATTCTGCTCAGGATTATAGTAGTGGTACGTGGCTCTCACATTAGTAGCACTCTCTCCGCCACCACTGCCACCGCCGGAGTTGCAATTGCTTTGACAGTTATTGGAAGGTAAACAATAGTCATCGGTTGTACCACAGTAACCATATTGGCTACAGCAAAGGTTGTTCGCGCAGGTGGCGCCACCGGCTTGCTGGCCACATTGTTGGGCCGTGGCAACAGCAGCCACTAGACAAAGTGAGACAATCATCCATAGGAATGACTTTCCCATTTCTGTGTGTATCGATTTTTGGTTGTGTGAAGTATGGTGGGAAAATTGCTTCAATTTATAGAGAGAGAGAGGGGTTTGTTTGATCGATATGTATGAAATTCTTAGATTTTTTTTTAATGGACAATTTGTATTTTCCTTCCGGCTGCATTGGTATGTCTAAAAGTCAACACTATTGACTAATTAATTTACTTGTAGATCATTTTCTGCGGACACAGAGAGAGGGGATGCTTGTGAACCGTAAAGTCAATGTAGCATATGTTTTTTTTTTAATGGAAATTTCAAGCCTCCAAAAAAGACCATACAACAAAAATAAATAAATACCCATTTTTACAAGTTATATAAAAAAATGTGAAAAAAAAAAATATATATACATATAAATCTCTAACATTTAAAAATATGTGCAAATTGCCCCTATTCGCCCCCCTAATATCTGTTGACCATCAATTTTGACTAATTTTTTTTTTTTTTTAAAAAAAAAAAAACTCCAAAATATCCATAATATATCTTATAAACTGAAATCAATGCTTCTTATTTATATTTTTTCTTAAGAGCGTTTTAGGTTTTTCAATCTTCAATTTGATAAAATATCCTTATTTGTCAATTTGAAAAATGTAGGGCTTTTTTTTTTTTTTTTTTTTTTAACACCAGGGAATGCACATTCGGTGTATAATAGTAATTTTGTGCATATTACTCTAAAAACAATGTTTTGTTTGGTTGGAAAGGATGAGGAAGAATGGAAGATGTTACTCTTGTTTGTTTGCAAGGAAAGAAAGGGAGGGAAAAAGAAGGAAAGGATGGACCATCCCTCCCTGTCCACATTTTTCATCCTTCCAAAACTGGATGGAAGAGAGAAGGAAAAGAGAAAAAAAATTAATAAATTATTGCATAAATATGAAATGCCATTTTTACCCTACAAATACTAACCAAATTACTTGATATTAGTTTATATAAAGCCTATTTGGGTTTGCTGGGGTTATTTTGGTTGTCCAAAATTTTAAATCAAGGCAAGTTTATTAAGTTATCTATGTAAATATAACATGATAGGGAAAAATAAGCCTAACTTATCTTGACTTAACGATAGAGGCAACTAAGTGTTGACCAGATGCCAAATGTTTTCTACTTCGAAAGATAATATTTCGTTATCAAGGATAACGATTTCCATTGGATAAATTCCATAGGATAATGACAAATCTTATCAAGGATAAGATTTCCATGGAATAAGTTCCATGGGTTAAGGATTATGATATTCCCTTATCAAGAATAAGGGAAGTGACGATAAATAATAAGAGACGATTGAAAAAACTATTATTAAATCCCTGTCTTCTTTTTAGACTTCCGGTGACTAACTTGATCGTCGGAGAGCTCTTGGCAGGCACTACACCGGTGCTGTCAAGGTTCATCAATCTTATCCTCTCTTCCTTGCAGGAAAACAGTGTCGTATTGGACCGCGTGAATTTCACCCTCAACATAACATACTAATAAAAACCAAAAAACACATAATTTATCTATGCATTAAACAATTGCACTGTATTCGTATAACTTGTAGATATAAGTGTACCATGTTACATTAACTTGTGATAATATCATTTTTTTATCACAAAAATAATATCATATTAAACATCTAAAATTTATGAACTTTTTTATACTTCTGGTTGCTTGGACAGGAGAAACTCTTGCCCAAGTACCGCTCAAAAGGAATTGTATTCAATGGCAGAATTTTTATTATACCTAATTTTAGCACAGCCCACTCACATGGAAAAACTGTTGAAACCAATTAAAATTTAAATAAGCCAAATTTGGGCTTGAGTTTGGGCTTGGGCCTGGGCCTAATTGTAAAGTCCAATTATTCTTTTTTACTAAATGGAATCTTGGATTGAGCCTTTAATTTTGGGCTGGGCTTATTTAAATGGGTGCTTGGTTTTTGAATTTAAATTAAAAATTAGTTTTTTTTTTTTTCCAAATGGTTGTATCTATTTCCAAAAGGTTGCATCTATTTTCCAAAGAGTTGCATTTGTTTCTAAAGGGTTGCAACATATTGGAATGGATGTGTCTATTGGTGAATAAACACCAAGTGAACCATTGCAACCTATTGGAATGGATGTGTCTATTGGTGAACAGACACCAAGTGAACCGTTACAACCAATTGGAGTGGGTGTATCCAGTGTGAAAAGACACGTATAAATGGTTATGTCCAATGATGAAGAGACACACCCAATCCGAAAAGGTACCTTACTTTAAAATTACTTTTTAATTTTTTTTTTCCAAAGGGTTACACCCAATCTGAAAAGGCACCTTACTTAAAAACTACTTTTTAGTTTTTTTCCAAAGGGTTGCACCCACCCGAAAAGGCACTTTGTTGCCTATAAATACCCCCCTTTGGATCATTTGCAAATAATTCATTTTTCAATTTCTTCTATCTCCCTCTCCAGACTTGAACCCAACCCAAGTGGGTTCAAACCATAGGTTAAGTGATTCGAACCACTTAGACCCTATTTCAATTTCATTGAGCCATATTAAGATTGGTCCGAACCATTTGGTTCGGATTGCACCAAATTCAGCATTTATACAGTATAGATGCATTTTTGAGTTCGAGAGAGTATTACACGAAGAAGGTTCGCCGTATCCACGAGTTTGTAGTACTGCTACTGGTGGATGTAGACCGTTGTATCTTGGGAGATAGACGCCACTGAATCCGTAAGCACCATAGCGGGGCGAATCTGTCTTAAGGACATAGTATCTAATACTAACCTCGGTCCAGGTTTTTTATTTATTATTATTATTATTATTTTATTACTTTATTTTGCATATTTAATTAAATATAGAGTTGCATATTTAATTAATGATTTCTTAGCATATTGTTAATTATCTCATGACATATTAGTATAAGATTTGTTATATCTTAAATATTACATGAAGCATATATAATTTACCAACAGTTCAAACTCAATAAGTGTATATTTGAGCCGCCTCCTACATTTAAAGGATTTAGTAGGATCGTAAGTCTAGAGTTTCACTCCGTCAACTTTGCCGATGGTGTACTTGGAAGCTTGGTTTCTAGTTGCCCACTACTTGAACGGCTGAAACTGGAAGGCTCCATCAAATTTGATTGCCATATTCGGATCTGTTCATTTCAAAAATGCCCCTCTTCTTGCATTAGTTTCAATTACTTCGAATGATGACAGGGGAGGAAAAGAAACTGCAATGATGGAGGTTTTTCTTGGTCTACCTGTAATCGAGACTTTGCAATTGGGCTATCGTTTTGTGAAGGTAAGGTAGCTCTAGAGCTCTTATTTCATGAGTTCACAATTGCAAAGAAAATCATGTTTCTTATTGTCTTTTGTTTAGTTCTTGACTGTGGGCAGTGTACCTGAGAGGCTCCCGTTTACCTTAGACAACCTTAAAATTCTTCAACTATACAAAGATTATAAGCTCCCCCAACTTGAAAAAATTTGAATTTTGGGTAAGCTATATATATAACATTGCATTCTTTCTAATGTTTTTATAGTTGTATATATAATATATAATTGAGATGTTTCTATCTTCTTTAGTGAAGATGATGATGCTAAAGGACCTGTTTTAGAATTTTTGGAAATGCAAGACTACTCAGATGTCTATTTGAATCAACTTTGAGAAGTGAAGTTACGGTTCATATCAGGAATAAGGTCTGAATTGGAGTTTATTAAGCTTTTATTAGCAAAACCCCCTTTGCTTGAGATGATGCTTGTTGAACCCAACTCAGCAAAAGTTACTGACAATAGAGTGGGGATGCTGAGAGAGTTGACACGATTTCGACGTGTCTCACCTAAAGCAGAAATTATATACAAAGATGTTTAGGGCATGGGTACTTTATATCCATTTTGATCATTTTAAGTATGTGAAGGGATCACATTCAATCATATAGGTGGTTTTTTTCTATTCTATTATATATATATATATATATATATATATATATATATATATTAATACTCACACACCCATGTCTCCATTGAGGTTTGTGTTGGGAAACGTGCAATATTTAAAAACTTTTCGAGGGATTTAAATTCATAGATCTTGATTCATCACATAGAGACAAGTTTTATGCAAAAATAAAATATAATGTATCATTCAATTAATGGATTGAATACTTACATCAAAGGTCTGAGTAAACCTTTAAATCTTTCCTCTAAAGTGAATGTTCTCACTTATTGTAAATCCCTTAGCAAGATGCATTCTCCTTGGATCTCCATCTCTTTGGTAATTGTTTTGCCTTTAGAAATCACTCATAAGCCTCCATGAATGACCTTGGAAAACTAGGCTTGTGGGAGCCTCCATTAGATGAGAACATAAACCCTAATTTTCTAGAGAGAGAAAATAAGTTCCTATTTCCTTCTTCCAAAAATCACCCCTAAAATATACATAGACCATGTATATTTATAGACAACATAAAAAATAAAGAAAAGGAAACAACAAATCCTTCTCAATCTCTAATTCATATGTCTCAAATCTAATATGATTCCAATATCAAGTTGGGTTATGAGTGAGAATCCATTGGGCCTATTATTTTATTGGTTACAATGAATTAATAATTGGCCCGGTCCATGAACCCAATTCAATTAATTCATAAATTAATTTCTACTCCATTAAAAGAAATTAATTGAACTCCAATTACATAATAACTAACCTCTAAGTCAATATTACACTTTGACCCCTCTCTATGCATAATTAGTTATCGGATAAATAAAGCCATCAATCCGACTACTTAATTAATATATTTATTTTGGTACATTTGATTATTTTTGGCTCAATCACAAAAAAACATTTGTTTGACAAAAATAATAATTTAATAAATAAATATATATAATAAATCATTTTGTCTAAAGCCACACGAAGGCCTTCGAATTTACTTTGTAATCAACCATAATCAATATAAAATAAATACAAGTAGCAATAATGCAAATATTAAAAATATAACCCTCTAACTATTAATTACATAACTACCCAAAGTGTCGATCTAAGGATCCCGAAAAATCCGCCGAACAAATCATAGTAATTATTAATTAATAAAAGAGTC